ATTAAAAATAAAATTTAATTATAAACTGATGTATAAGGTTAAAAAGATTTAAACTATTTAATGTAAAGAAATGTTGTTTCCTGCTACAATTTGAAGTAATTATAGGAAAAAAAATTGTAATTTTGATTTATTTTGTTGTTTTTTATGGTGGTTACGAGGTTAGTCAAATTGACCTAGTCAGTATTAAGTAAGAATAGAACAAATAACGTATAAAATATGAAGATTTATAGAAAAAAGAGAGAGTTAAACTGACGGTCCAGATCGTCAGGAGAGGTCCCTCACCGCTTGGGGTCCTGGCGCAACTGCACCACGGTTAATGCGGCCCAGGGTGAAGTTCACCTGGAAATACTTCATATACCACAAATGAGAAAAAAAATATATTATTTGAGGAAAAACATCCAAAAGTCACCAGGCATTTTGATGGAAAACCATGCAGTATGCTGATTGGTGATGGTTCCATATCTACAATCGTTTATCTCGAGTTATTAATTAAAGATGGGAAATTGCTTTCAGAAATGAAGAAAGAAGAGGGATTCATGAGAACAGTAGGTGGGCATAAACCTACAGTAAAAGGGAAGTTGGAAGTTACTTTTGTTATAAGAAGCTTTTCTGTGTTTCATTATGTGTAGGTAATTGACAGTGAGAAAGAGTATATTTTGGGAGCTAATTTCATGAGGAGACATGGATGCGAGGCCAGGCTAGCTTCAGGTATCATCATAGTCTACGACCAAGAAATCCTTGTGTACTACTTTGTAAATACTAGACTGGAGATTGAACGTCTAGTGTAAATAGAACACTGGTCATTGTACCGCAAACAAGTGTGATGCTCATACCAGGAGTCAATAGCAATAATTTAAATTTTCATCTAATGACTGAGGTACAGTATAACCAATTACTCCAGCATGTCATGAAAGATTGGTGGTTGAAAGAACTCTCGTGGATGTGAAGAATAAAAATATCATAGATGACTTTACCTTGGAAAGACATATTAAGTCAGTTTTTGACTGGATTCCATTGAGGTGATCTGGTATGTGTTACGTATTAAAATTTTAGATGGTTTGAAATTGAGTTAACTGATAATTTAAATTTAATAGTTAAATTGTACTTTGGATTTAGTATTTAAATAAATGCCAATATAT